TGTTGGGGGTTTAATTGCCTTGGAAACCTTGTTTACTTTTTGGAAAATTTCCTCATCGGACATTAAAATTTCATAAAAATCGTAGCCACTTCCTTTGTTTATTATACTATTTGATAGACAGGGTAAATTGTACCTCTTTACCTTCTATATTTTTTTGTATATCGCTATCTTATACCTCATTATAATATGCTAATACAACGCACTATCTGATTGGTTCTAGACAATATGTCACAGTTTTCTTTTAGTTATTTTATCTATGATACGTATTACTCATGGCAATAACGTTTCCTAATACTCATCTATAATGAAAAAATGTGTTTAAAAAATTAACATGAATTCTAGTTACTTGTAGTCTTATATTGTGTTAGAAAATAACAGGTTGCTTTTTGTTTACCTACAATGTATATGATTTTTATTTGATGAATAAATCTTCCCTACGATTAAAAATATATGACCGAGTTTAACCAACCGTGACATTCAAAAGAGAGGTCTCTTGGACACATGTAGAACACAGACGAGGTTGTTTTGCCAGAGGTGGTCAAGAAGCCTTTAGCCCCCTCCCCTTTGAAGTCGCCAAGAAATGGTAAAATATTGATGACTTTGCGAAATTAAACGATCAACAGTTATGATCTCTCAGAAGCTGTATTCCTGAAACTATCACTGTCTCTGCTAAAATGTTGAAGACATATTCTGCAATTATATGTTTGTATGATAAATAAAAAAGAAAAGATTTTCAAAAAAAGAGAAAGTGGGTTCTTTTAGCCGAAATTTTAGACATTTTTATCATTACATTATTTATACATTCATAAATAAATTTGATTTTATGCACAAGATGAATGTGAAAGTAATTAATGACGCATAATTAGATACGATAGACAATCCCTTGTTTATACATGGCATCATATCTGGTGTGTGAAATGCGTTTCCGTATAATTTTATTTATTTACATATTGTTCATGTTTGTCGTGTTGATGTGGAAGTATTATAGATTCCCGAATTCTGATACTTTACAATTCTGTTGTGTTGGGAATGAACATTAGGAAGATGCATATACTTTCAACATAAGGAAAAATATAAAGCAAATCGAACGCCTTTTTGTGTGCAGATCATGAAATGTACTGAGCTCCACGGGTATTTGTTGTCCCGAGCGCATTAATCTTGACGCCCAAATTCTTACTTGGCTATTGATACCTTTAGAAAACATGTGTATCTAGATGAAAGTTAACTCGGCAACATGCGCCATCCCATTGTTTAAGTTTTATTAAGTGATTACACCTCCTATACCCGATTTCGCGGATTCAACGATACCCTAATATCGAGTATTATACGCGATTTCACGGATAATACCCGATTTCGAGTATTCTCTCCGACCTGTTCAATATGAAGAAAATTTAAATTCATTAGGCCATCTTCAAATTAATGTTTGCTTGCCCTCTCCCGACTCAGGGTAAAATAATTGGATCGGTAGGTAGGTGAAAAAAATTCCAGAACATTTCGGCATATTTGTTGACGGGATAAGGGGAATGAATGGGGAAAAAAATTACTATTTCATGGAATGTAACAAAAAAAGTTTTCAGTGGAGTCGGGAGAGGGCAACCAAACAATTTTTAAAGATGGCTTCAGAGTTCGCTGTCTTCAATTTTTTCATATAAAAAATAATTTTGTACAGCGTTTTTAAATTCAATTATTTGTTATCTCTAAAGTGTGTAAATATATATTTTACAATTGTTTATCTTATTCCACATAAAAATCTAATTTAAAAAGTATTTGCATTTGTCTTGAACACACTGAACATGTTTTAGTATGATTTACTAGGAAAACTTTAATATCTCCGTTTGCACAATTCAAAGCTACAGCCAGTACCTCTCCCAGGAGAGAGAGAGAGAGAGAGAGAGAGAATTCTTTAAATATAGAATATTTAAAATTCATTTCTCTTGTCCAAGAATTTGAAGCTGGGGCTTATCAAAATAATTATCATTTTGGATAGTCTAGGCTAATGCTTGTACATTAGCCCCATTAAAATTTTAAAAAATACAATAAGCTTAACGTGACCCTCAATGGGATGACTTGTTAGATGTTAGTGTGTTGAGTATGCGAGCCGATCTAACATCTAATTTTAATTATATTGTTATAGAATATGATGCAGACAGAAATACCTAGTGAAAACCTTTCGCACCCGTTGAATTACTTTGTAAAATATTAGTCAAAGGAGCCAGGAAAAAATATTAAACAATTTAATATTATGATAAAAATATTCAATTTACTATTTCTTAAGGTGATTTTGTTTTCTCAACAGCGGCTGGTCACGTACCATACTTTTACTCATAAACTCAATTTGGCGGTGAAGAAGCAGCATTTTCTGTTGCTCACCGTCGCTATAGCTGAGCATTGCTCTACGAGCAATGTGCCCGGCTAAAAATCATAATATTTGTAATGATATATCATATTCTAGACTTGACATACAATAAACAATGATAAGAATTCTATTTGACATATCTGCAGTGATTTTCTTTGGTCTTTCTGTGGTGATAATTTATCCCATATCACATGTGTGATAATACTTTCCAAACATGTTTCAAAGTTTTTACACTCTTTATCATACAGTTTTAAAGAACAGTTTTATGAGCTCATAAGTATATTAAATGGTTAATTTATCAAAACCTGCATTTAAAAATTCAGAAGTCTTAAGTTAAACCAAATTGTCCAGGGTATTCTTAGTAAGGTATGTCAAAGGTCATGGTTAAGTGACTTTGTAAGGCTGGTATTTTTTCTTTAGTTTTATGGCAATCAGTGCACATGGTAAATATCATGACCCCTTAAAGGTCTTAGCAAGGATATAGCCAATCAAAATGAACAAATGTAGTTCTATGTATGATGTATATAGAGACAATAATATTTCTTTTCTTTTTTCATTTTCAGGAACTTTACGTAGGTCTACAGTTTTAATTTTGGACTCATGCACTAGGAATATCATATCAGCAGAATTGTGCCACTGAATCAAAGGGAACTCTTTTTTTTTTAGGTACGCATGATCGATGTAACTTCCTCGATGGTGTGTTGGCTGTTTGTTCCCATGTGTCTTTCGGGGTATAGGTATGTTTAGTCTCAATTTTCTTTCTTAAAAGCTGCATAAGGGGTATATTTTTTCTGATCTCAAATTTTGTCTAAGCATTAATCTTTTTTCTCATTCATGAATTATCTGCTGAGAGTCTAGTTAATTAATTTATTTAATTAAAGCTATATAGTAACATATAGTGAAATTATTTCCTTGTGTGAGACCTAAAGAAAATCAGGTTACTCATTTTTATGACAATTTCTTTGATTTCAGGAGTAGCCTCCCCTTTTAAAGATCCAAAATGGTGATTTTACAGTGCGGCATGCAGTCTGGTCATCAACGAAGAGTTTTGACACCTGTAATACCCATATTTCTACCATTCACCTCTGTAACCTTTGTTAAGTTCATCAGACTGGTAAGAAAAACAATATTGTTAATTGAAATAATTTTATCAAGATAAATAAAATAATTAATGAAAAAAAAATTACATGAACAGACTCCCTCACATAAGAAAATGTCACATTTTACACATTGCAATTATACATCATTTACATATCCACATTTTTCCATTTACACATGCAGTTGAATAGATTTAGTGCTTAATAATACATAGCAACAATTATTACATGAATCCTAAGACAATTCACAAAATACATGAATGCATTAAACTGTGAAATACAGATTTCGTACATTTAATTAAAATGCACAGCATCAGTACCCCCCCTTCACAATCTTGCAACTTTCTTTTTTAATTCAAAGTCACTAGGCAACACTAAAGATTTCCACTTATTGCTTTTCAGTCCAAGACAGGAAGTTGAGGAATAAAGTTGACAGGACATCCTGAACTGTCCTTGCTACCAGCTTATGAGGGAACCAGCTGCAGTGGACAAAGTACGTTACATCATAGGATAATAGGTAAGTCTTCGGAGTAGTGTTTGTAGCAATTCTCGTACTTGGTCATGCATCGAAGATTCAGGACTATTGATATTTATCTCTGCATGGTTTGGTTCTTCCCAGAAACATGTTACTGGTGGTGGTCCCTATATTCTTCTGGCTTTTGTGGTGAGGAATGTTTCATTTCTAGCTCTTTTCTTATCACATTTTGTCTATCTAGCTGTTTGTCTGTCTGTCTGTCCATCTGTCTGTCTGTAAACTTTTCATATTTTCGACTTCTTCTCTAGAACCCATAGACAGATTTTTCAACCAAACTAGCCACATAGCATCCTTGGGTGATGGGGATTCAAGTTTGTCAAATAAAGGGCCACACCCTCATTCAAGGGGAGATAATTGGGAATTGATGAAAATTTGATGGTATGTTTTAAAAATCTTGTTCTCAAGAACCACTGTGCCAGGAAAAATGAAACTTATGGAGAAACATCTTCAGGTAGTGTAGATTTAAATTTGTATAAATCATGACCCCCGGGGGTAGGGCGGAGCCACAATGGCTGACCAAAGTTTAACATAAAAATATATAGGAAAATTCTTTAAAAATCTTCTTCTCAAGAATGAAAAAGCCATAATTGATCCTATTTATATGGAAGCATCCTCAGGTAGTGTCAATTCAAGTTTGTTCAAATCATAACCCCGGGGGTAGGGCGGGGCCACAATGGAAGATCAAAGTTTTACATAGAAATATAAAGGAAAAATCTTTAAAATTCTTCTTCTCAAGAACAGCAAAACCCTGATTGATCATATTTATATGGAAGCATCTTTAGGTAGTGTAGATTCAATTTTGTTCAAATCATGTTCCCCGGGGGTAGGACGGGGCCACAGGGATGATAAAATCTTTATATAGAAATATATAGGAAAATTCTTTAAAAATAAACTTCTCAAGAAAAGCAAAGCTATGTCAAGGGACTACTTTTGGATTTAAACTTTTCAATAAAAACCAATTTTTACTTTTTCCTAGCCACAGTGCTCAGGTGAGCGATGTGGCCCATGGGCCTCTTGTTTTTTTGTTTTTTTTTTTAAAAATGATCAATCATTAAATATAAATAAATCAGTTGTTAAAAAATTTGCTTCATATTTGAAGTGCTTTAAACCGACCCTTTGATGAAAGTGACCAGTGTTTTTTGCACCTTGGAAGGTTTATTGGTAAAATATAAGAAGGAAGTTATGATTTTGGTGTCACTATTGTTGTTATTTAAGTTTGATTTGATTTTTATATTACGAGTATTATGAAACTGTTATTTTGTTACTGAACGATGGTTAATTTTAATTGTGAACAAATGTACAAAGATGAGGAGTATAATATAGTTGGCTATGTATATTGCCCAATTTTTGAACATATTATGTAATAAATATTAATAACAACCTTTGAATAATTGGAAAGACAATATTATAAATATGATAGCATTTTTGTACATGAGCATACATTTTTGAAAGGAAAAATAAATTATTCAATTGCATTAAAAAAAATATTTTGTTTCATATTCTTGCGAATTATCAGATCAATCTTCCATTATTTAAATACTCTGTCATTATGAAACCTTGTTAATAATTAAGTAAATATTAATTGTACATTTGCACCAATTTTTACATGGCATTTTCACACTAAGAATGCCACGTGCAAAATTATATACAGGAACAATTCTGAACAAATATATGCAAGTGAGTTGTGAGAATTTGATATGTAATGCATACATTAGAAAAATCCATGACAGTGTTCACTAAAATGAAATGTATGGACTCTTATATAAATACTTGGTATATGTGATATGGATATTATGGATGATATGTTTGAGAATGACACAAGTAATGAAATTTTTCAGCATTGAATTGGATTCTTGAACCAGAGCCATGTGAACCTGGTCCACCTGTACCTCTCATTGAAGACCTGTTAACATCACCAGAGTATGTTCATTCTGATACCCCTATGGTATGGTTACAGCATGCATTATCCCTGAATCCATTAAAAGAGCTGCATTGGCAACGAAACAACCCAATGTGGTCGATTGTAAGGAAATATAGCATATCAGCTTCCAACTTTGGTGCAGTTCTGAGTTCTAAGCAAAGGCGGTAAGACGTGTTATTAAATTTTTGCGAAAAAGACTTTTAAAATTACAGTCAAACTTTGTTATCTCAAACCCATTATCTCATATTTCATGGATATGTCACAGTAATTTTGAAGTCCAAACCATTTATAAAAGACTGGGACATTTTATTCTTGATAACTCTTTATGTATTATTCTTGAATCCACGGATATTCCCAACATTTTTCTTGGTCTCATTGAGTTTGAGATAATGAGGTTCGACTGTAATGACTAGATATTTGTACATAAAGATGCAGGAAATATAAGATTAATAACCAAAAATCATATTTTCTTCTCCAGATTGACATTGTCACTGAAGAAACAGCTGATGTCGGCTTACAATCTGGAGTCCATCAAGGCTGTTGCATGGGGTATCACTCATGAAGATGATGCTTTGAGAAAGTATGAAAAGGAATTTGATGCAGCTGTAGAGCAGTCAGGTATACAGCACAAAATAACATTCATTCAACCTCTGTCATGTTAACATTCAATGTGTCAAAACAAATAGCAGGACTTATCCTGGTGACAAACAGAAATCAATTACTGAAGTCTAATTGTAAAAACTAGAAATATGTCCATAGGACATGAATGCCCCGCCGAGGATATATTAGTAAAGCAACATGAAATTTGTACATGTATAAAATTTGATCAGTTTGGTTCAGGCAGGGCTTATAGTTAGTCGGGAATAAAAATGTAGGTCCAGCATCCAAAGCAAGTCTGGTAGTGTCCATCACTAGATGCATCATCCACGCAAGTTTGGTTCAGGTAGGGTTTATAGTTACTTGGGAATGAAAATATAGGTCAGATCCAGCATCCGACCCAAGTTTGGTAGTGTCCATCCCTAGCTGCATCATCCATGCAAGTTTGGTTTAGGTAGGGCTTATAGTTACTTGGGAATGAAAATGTAAGTCAGATCCAGCATCCGAAGCAAGTCTGGTAGTGTCCATCCCTAGATGCATCATCCATGCAAGTTTGGTCTAAGTAGGGCTGATAGTTCCTTAGGAAATAAATCTGCTCCAAAAACTTCAACCTGGTCACTCATCTGGAAAATGTAGGTCAGATCCAGCATCCGAAGCAAGTCTGGTAGTGTCCATCCTTACATGCATCATCCAAGCAAGTTTGGTCTAAGTAGGGCTTATAGTTCCTTAAGAATGACCTGCTCCAAAAACTTTAATTTGGTCACTCATCTGAAAATGTAGGTCATATTGAGCATCCGAAGCATGTCCGGTAGTGTTCATCTCTAGATGCATCATCTATGCAAGTTTGTATCAACATGTAAAGTTTGATAACACCATCTTGAATGGTATGTTTAAAACAGCTAAACACTATTTAAGAAAAGTCAGGTCAAGGTCAAAAAATGTTAATGCAGTTGCATAGCTCTCATCAATATCTATCAGCATATGAAGTTTGATGAAAATATCTTGGATAGTTTCTTTGAAACTTAGCTTTGAACAGAGCTAAACACAAAGTGGGACGGAAGGACAGAAGGACGGAAGACGGACATGACAAACACTATATGCCCCGGCCATATTCATGGCGGGGCATAAATATTCGGTTACCAACATATTCCAGAAAATTTGCTTTTTGAAGTGGAAGGATTATAAAAGCTCTACTTAAGACTTTGTTTGCATTACAAAATCAATTGTATTATGGTTTGTTTGCATTCAGTAGTATTATAATTTTTTCTGAAAAGGATATGGTTGCATGAATCCGGAGTGTTGGAGCTTCACCTGATGGCTTAGTTGTTCGACCACCAACATGCAGTGTATTTTATCAAACCCCAGAAGCCAAAGACGCCATTCCTGATATTGTAGAGGTGAAGTGTCCATATACAGCATTGTCTTCAACAGTAGCAGATGGGGCACAAAATTTGAAGGATTTTTCATAGGTAAATAACATTAAAAATCTGTATTGTCCAGTACTTTGAAATTAAAAATCTTGGTGAGTAAATGATTTCAAAACATGTATTAATTTACAAGTGCAGCTGTTCAATATGGTATGAAGATATTGAAAAAAGGAGGGGATATGTACTGGTATAACACAACTTAAGTGTTTTTTGATTTTTTTTTTAGATCTTAAACAAGATACCCTGTGCCTGAAAACCAGTCACCCATACTATCATCAAATTCAAGGCCAGCTACACATGTAATAAAACATTCTGCGACTTAATTGTGTGGACAAGAGTAGACTGCATTGTGATTAGAATAGTAAAAGACATTGAATGACAGCAAATGTTCCAAAAGCCATAGATTTCTACATTAACATTTTCATTCCAGCACTGATGGAAAACTGAGTTCTGGTTTGAACTTCTTACATCTTAGTTTTATCCTCTAGAATTTTCTAACAATGGAAAATGGGTAATCATGTTAAATGTGTTGAATGTTCCTAAGTCTCATAAATGTATGATATGATATGTCATAATCCATCATAAAACTTCTGGCTTATAAGACTATTTTAAATAGCAATGATGATTAATAAAATCTATGTACTACATAAAAAAAGAATATCAAAATTTAGAATCATTTTATTAATGAATTGAAGATGTTATTCTCAAAGTGAAAATGTAACATGTTTGTCTTTCTTAATAGATAAATTGTTGAAAACATGAATTTGTTGAGTTGTGCTTTAAAGGTAAATATACTTTAAACTAGAGATTATAAGTAAACCCTCTTCCAAATTATATTGTCAAATGAAGAATGGAATTGCCAAACATTCTTGTAATAAATCCATGCTAACAAAAGGGATTTTCATTTTCTGAAGTACATGTATTACACATACTACAAAGTTAACAAATATAACCATTGACATTGATAACAAATCAAAATTTGCTTATCCCTTGCACTTTGGTATGAATATCTTCACTGTTTAGTGTATACTGTCACACGCCAATGCAAATTTATAATAAGTACATGTATCTTTAAGTAATTTCTTTCAAAAGTGGAGCTTGCAAGTTTACAAGACAAGAACAGAGTTGAAATATTTTTGTTGAGATTGGTCTGTAAGTAGATGGTATGTGACGGAGAATCTCGTAATTCTTTATCCTCTCGTTGGCTCTTTCCACATGAATAAGTGCTTTAGCAATCTTGTAACACAGTGCTGCTTCTTATGGTAAACTGGCCTCGTGTCGATAAAAGAGCTTTTATAATTAAGCAGACACCCCTGGGCAACTGGTCATGAATGGTGAAACCTTTGACCACCAAAATAAGGTCTCTCTCTCTCTCTCTCTCTCTCTCTCTCTCTCTCTAAACTTTGCTGTGACGTACAATAGCTACATCAGAAGTAGAACCTGGGTACAGCATGGAGCAAAATGTAAGTGCACCATTTGGAGGCACGCAAGTTACTGCTTTAAAAGTATGGCAACTTTTGTACATACTGTAGGCCATGGCCTGATTATCCATATGTGTTGGGATGTCCTGGGTTGTTTCAATTGCATCCATGGATGCTCAGCAAGAGGAAAAATCCTCAAAAGATTTTGGCAGAGACCCTGAAAAAAAGTTGGAAAAAAATTAATTTTTTGATTATTTGTAATTGTGTAAAAAAATTGTGTTACAGTCAATCTTTCAAGAATACAATAAATTTAACTGCATTAAATTTTTGCAAGTCATTATGATAAATTTTAAAACAAACCTTTGCATTTAAGCTGACTTGGAAAACATTCTACGCTACATTCTACACTACGCCATCAGACAGCATCTTGTATAGGGAAAAGATCACTAATTATTTTCCCATAGAACTCCATACAAACCTTAGGCCCTCTCAGTACTTTACTATGACAATTTCAGAAAAATCTTTAGCATCATTTCAAACTTTGTTCTAAGCCTGAACAAAAAATACTGAAAAAAATATATGGTCCCATGGCGTTTATAGGTCAAAATTGCAGTTATTTTCAACTTTTAGAGATTCGCAAAATAACACGCGGCATAAAAAATCAACCCCCACTCCTAAAATCTTCCCTGGCATTTCTATAGTTTCTGTAATATTCCCTCATCCCATCATTTATTTCAAAGGTCATTAATTTTACTTTAAAATGAAAACAATTAAATACCTGATTTCAGCCAATGGCGTAACGCCTACCCATTCAGTATTCGGTTTAATGTTCCATAACAAACAAAGCCATGTGTACATTCGGGAATTTGGTGCTCTCATTCCTATACTTACATACTTACCTGTCCCAGAATTAGTCAATTGTGGTAATTTCAAAGACTATACACCTACCTGTGAACATGTATGAAATTTGAGTCCTGTGACTTCAGTGTATTGGATACTGTGACCATCTCAAATGATGACACCTTACTGCTACCAGCACAATTCAAAGGAGTGAATGACGTCTGGGCCGGTGATGATATTTGGATATATTGGTGACTGTAATAAATAAAATATTTGTACAATGAATTGTTTTTGTGCTTTAATGTTAATAAAGTGATATTAAGTCAAAATTGAGTCAATAATTTCATAAGGGTGGATTCTACCCAGAATTAGGTAAAAAGCTCCAAAATTGGATAAATCGTAGTTAATTAAGCAAAATTCAAAGGTTTTAATAAGACTGATATAGAATTTTTTTATGCTTATGCAAAGGATATTATTTAAGACTCTGATATACTAATTGATTCTTATCTAATCCCTCCTATTGCTCAAGTATGTACAAAAAAGTTTCCCCCACCCCCCAGTGAAAAACACTTAAAGAAATAGAAATACCCCCTTCTATTTTTGTTTACAGTTTAATTTAGAACAAAGTTTAAATCAATCCTTTTGATAACAAATCAAAGTTCAATGTCTGTAGTCTTATACATTACAATCAGAAGCTACTTTTTGAATTTTATTCTAGAAGAAAAGGAGAATTTAAATAATTTTTTTTAAAAATTAAAGAAAAGCAAAAACTGACTTCAAACCCCAAAATGTACTATACAATAAGAGGCTGAAAGTTAATAAATAAAAAATTTACCTGCAATGTACAGAAAACTGTCCGACAAAATACATCGGGTGGGTCAGGAGTCTCCATTTTCTTCTTATATAGAGGAAATGCCCCTGCTGATCAGAGACCTAACACTCCCAAATAATAACAAAATATGTTAACATAACAGTCAATCTAAGATGTTCATCCCTCAATGGCAACAAGTTTTTATTACAGTAACTGAAATTGATAGGAAATAGGAAATCACAATTGGAATTCCTTTAAATGTACCTTCTCTTCGTTGTATTTAATATAGTGGATTGATATTGGCTTCCTTTTACTAGACTCTATTTTTAGGGCAAGCAATTCCTTTTCCAGTTGTATTTCTGTTGAGGCAGTACATTACTTAGTACAGTTAAATGTGCAGGATGCTCAGTAGTTGTGCTCTGATATCAACTGAAAATATATTGTAAATCATGTACAGTTAAAAGAACTTTATATATTATTAAAAATTATTGAAAATGTTTCAGTGTTGGTCATTTGTCATCATTGGTGTTTTAAATGAGCTTTACTTTTTCTTGATATTGACATTTTGGTGCTTGTGGAATCTGCAACTGGTCCATCTGTGAAGATGACAGGGACTCCTCACTTTTGAGTTTTTTCCTCCTTTGTAAAATAATTAAACTTGAATTATTTTTTTATTCAGTTGTAAGCTACTCTGATTATACATGTACCCTTTTAAAGTTTTTTAGTAAAATATTCTCAATTAAACTACCCACCCACCATCCAAACACAAGATGTCGGTCACATTTTGAAAAATAATTTCACCTTTTTGTACATTCAGGATCAGAGAAATCCATGGCCTTTCCTTCATTCCATGCAAAATATGCAGGGTCCCCCTCCTTCTTACCATCCTTAAAGTGGCAGGAGCAGATGCGATCATTCTGATCTCCTGGTTGGCGTTCAGCTCGTCTAAAAATATACATTATACAAAGACTAAGTGAAGGAGAATTAAAAAGCAAAACCTGTTCATTTAGCATGTTATTATCAAATAGCCTAAAAGACTTATTTTTTGTTATTTTTTTTTAAATGTTTCATTTACTTGCAAGTACAAGATAACCATGTGCATAACATTAACAAACGGTAGCAGTATTTGGTAGTAATAATACGAAATAAAATGTAATAAAAACAGCTGTTAAACAAAAATTAATCTTGCTACAAATTGCACAGTTTTTATAGTATGTACTCTTCATTATTCTTCTGCTATATTGATTACTACGAGATTTAACTTTTTAGCATGCATGTATAAATACTGTATCTGACAATGCAGCATCGTGACATATCGTTACAAGCACCAAATTTTGTCAATATATCTACGTTTACTGAGTTTTTTCCCTAGCAGGCCGAAATATCTCCATCATGTCACCAGGAACAACACTCGTGCATCTCGTAATAAGTGCTGCAATAAACAAACTGATGATTGTGCTTTTTCTCACCTGCATGGTTATCCCGACGCTTCAGCTACTTTCGTTATTTCTAACCAATGAAAATTGTCCTTACTTTTCTGTTGCGTCATGCAATTTTATTGCACGCATCACTGAATTGTAGAACACACATCACAAGATTTCGAATATACATCACAAGATTATCGAACATACATCACAAGATTTCGAATATACATCACAAGATTTCATAACAAGATTTCGACATCACAAGATCACATAGATTATAGAATATACATCACAAGATTTCGAATATACATCACAAGATATTGAATATACATCACAAGATTTTGAACATACATCACAAGATTTTGAATATACATCACAAGATTTTCAAATATGTCAGAAGTCACAAGATATTGAATATACATCACAAGATTTTGAACATACATCACAAGATATTGAATATACATCACAATATTATAGAATATACATCACAAGATTTCGAACATAAATCACAAGATTATAGAATATACATCACAAGTTTTAGAATATACATCACAAGATATTGAATATACATCACAAGATTTTGAACATACATCACAAGATTTTGAATATACATCACAAGATTTCGAACATACATCACAAGATTTTGAATATACATCACAAGATTTTGAATATACATCACAAGATTTCGAACATACATCACAAGATTTTGAATATACATCACAAGATTATCGAATATTGCAACGTTTGACATGCCATATCCATATACTTCATTTTCTAATTTGTGCACTATTCACAAAACGAGAAATTTTAAAGAAATTACACGACTAACGCCGTGTTATGTATTTTTACTGAAAAATGTATGGCGTCCCTTTCTCGTGAAATATAAATTATTCCTAACAGTTAGAGAGTACAGTATTAGCGAGTCGTAATTGTATATCTCTGCCATAATAGAATACCAACGTAATTATAAAGAAGAAAATAAAATAAGATTAAATAAATACCCATGGAAAACAGTTTGAAAATAGCTAATTGAAGGTGAGTATTTTTTTATGTCAATTTAGCATGAAATTTTTATTCAAAGACACCGTA